AAGATTTGCAAACTATGCATGTGACAAAGGTCTAATATCCCAAATCTATAAAGAACTGAAACAACTGAACAAGCATAAAACAAATGAAACCTTTAAAAATGAGCAAAAGACATGAACAGGCTCCTCTCAAAAGAAGACATACAAGCAGCCAACAAACATTTAAAAATGCTCAATATTGTTAATCATTAGAGACATGAAAATGAAAACCACAAAAAGGTACCAACTCACACTACAGAATGGCTACTATCAAACAGTTAAAACAAGTAACAGATGCTAGTGAAGCTGTGGAGCAAAGGGAACACTTATACCCTATTGGTGGGCATGCAAATTACTTCAGCCACTGTAGAAAGCAGTTTGGAGATTTCTCAAAGAACTTAAAACAAACTATCATTTAGCCTAGCCAATCCCATTACTGGTATATGTTCACAAGAAAATAAATCATTCTACCAGAAAGACACCTGTACTCATATGTTCATTGCAGCACTATTCACAATAGCAAAGGCATGGAATCAACCTACATGGCCATCAACAGTGGATTTGAGGCTGGGTGTGGTGGTTCACACCTGTAATCCTAGCACTTTGGGATGCCAAGGTGGGCAGATCACCTGAGGTCAGAAGTTTGATACTAGCCTGGCCAACACAGCAAAACGTTGTCTCTACTAAAAATACAAAAATTACTCAGTCGTGGTGGCATGCGCCTGTAGTCCCAGCTTCTTGGGAACCTGAGGCAGAAGAATTGCCTGAACCTGAAAGGTGGAGGCAGCGAGCGTAGATCATGCCAGTACACTCCAGTCTGGGCAATAGAGTGAGACTCTGTTTCAATAAATAGATAGATAGATAGATAGATAGATAGATAGATAGATAGATAGATAGATAGATTAGACCAAAAAAGTGTGGTACATATACACCATAGAATACCATGCAGCCATAAAAAAGTGAAATCATGTCATTTGCAGCAACATGGATGCAGCTAGAGGCCTTTGTCCTGAGTGAATTAATGCAGAAACAGAAAACCAAATACTGCATGTTCTCACTTATAAATGGGAACTACACAATTTTAACTAACTCTTCTAAGTGATAGAATTGTGAATTGTACCTCTGACTCCAGACTCAGCCTTTAACTATTATAGTGCTTTTTATGGGGACCACATGAGTGCAGAGATGAAAATACTGACAGATATTGAAAGACACTATTAGGTAAACAAACTACAAGATGATTCAGAGAAATTAATGATAAAAATGATAATATTACTTCTCTCACTTACCTGATTTTTAAGTAAACCCATTAGGGAGATCCTTTCTAAAAAGAAAAGAAAAAGAAAAAGGAAATGAGAATGATCAAGTAGATCGTACTTGCTGCTCTGACAGCAAATGAAACCAGGGTTTCTGTCATTATAGACAAAGATAACTGTGCCGAATTGCAGATAGTCATTGCAACCGATTTATTTGAAAAATCATTGAATTTGAAAGCAAGAAAGTAAAAAATAATTTTCTTGTAGGAAATAAATTGATTATTGACCTGCACTAAAAGTTTTTAATGTCTTCTCTGAAAGACACTGTAAAGAAAATGAAATGAAAAATCTCTGTCTGGCAGAAAATATTGATAAATCTTATGTCTGATAAAGAACTTATATTCAGACTGATATGGTTTGTCTGTGTCCCCACCCATATTTCATCTTGAATTGTAGCTCCCATAATTCCCACACGTTGTGGGAGGGACTCAATAGGAGATACCTGAATCATGGGGCAGTTTCCACATACTGTTCCCATGGTAGTGAATAAGTCTCATAAGATTTGATGTTTTTATAAGGAGTTTCCCTTTTTGCTTGTCTCTCATTCTCTCTTGACCGCTACCATATAAGACATGCCTTTCACCTCCCCATAATTGTGAGGCTTCTCCAGCCATGTGGAACTGTGAGTCAATTAAACCTCTTTTTCTTTATGAATTACACAGTCTTTATCAGCAGCATGAAAATGGACTAATACATATATGATATAAAGAACTTTTATAAATCATTAATAAAAACAGAAAGCAACAAATCAGGCTAAATAATTGGCAAAAGGTTTAAACAAACATTGGCAAAAGGTTTAAACAAACATTTCATAAAAACAGTTTTTATGAAGGACTCAAAGCACATTAAAAAATGTTCAGCCTCACTAGCCATTAGGAAAATGTGAATGAAAACTATGATGAGATGCCATTACGTTCAGACTAGAATGGCCAAATGAAAAACAAAACAAAACAAACTAGCAACTGATGGTCAGAATGTGAAATAACTGAACTCTCATATATTGCTGGCAATAATGTGAAATGGCACAAACACTCTATAGAACTCTGGCAGTTGTAAGTTAAATACACACTTAACACGATTGGACAGTTTTACTCATAGGTATTTACTCAACAGTGATGAAATTGTATACCCAGAAGAAGAGACATACATTAATGTTGTTACCAATTTTATTTATTATGGCCAATGATTGAGAACCATTCAAATGTTCATTAGCAGACAAGAGAAATGTTTTATTTTTTTTTCTTTTTTTTATTGCATTTTAGGTTTTGGGGTACATGTGCAGAACATGCAAGATATTTGCATAGGTACACACATGGCAGTGTGTTTTGCTGCCTTCCTCCCCTTCACCCACATTTGGCATTTCTCCCCATGCTATCCCTCCCCAGCTCCCCCCACCACTGTCCCTCTCCTATACCCCCCAGTAGACCCCAGTGTGTAGTACTCCCTTCCCTGTGTCCATGTGTTCTCATTTTTCATCACCCGCCTATGAGTGAGAATATGTGGTATTTCATTTTCTGTTCTTGTGTCAGTTTGCTGAGAATGATGTTCTCCAGATTCACCTATGTCCCTACAAAGGACACGAACTCATCATTTTTTATTGCTGCATAATATTCCATGGTGTATATGTGCCACATTTTCCCAATCCAGTCTATCATTGATGGGCATTTGCCAAATTGTCTCTATTTGCAGACGACATGATAGTATACCTGGAAGACCCCATTGCCTCAGCACAAAAACTCCTGAAACTGATAAACAACTTCAGCAAGGTCTCAGGATATAAAATCAATGTGCAAAAATCACAAGCATTCCTATACACCAATAACAGACTTAAAGAGAGCCAAATCAAGAATGAACTGCCATTCACAATTGCTACAAAGAGAATAAAATACCTAGGAATACAACTTACAAGGAACGTAAGGGACCTCTTCAAGGAAAACTACAAACCACTGCTCAACGAAATAAGAGAGGACACAAACAGATGGAGAAACATTCCATGTTCATGGTTAGGAGGAATCAATATCGTGAAAATGGCCATACTGCCCAAAGTAATTTACAGAATCAACGCTATCCCCATCAAGCTACCATTGACTTTCTTCACAGAACTGGAAAAAGCCACCATGAACTTCATATGCAACCAAAAGAGAGCCCACATAGCTAAATCAATTCTAAGCAAAAAGAGCACAGCAGGAGGCATCACACTACTGGACTTCAAACTATACTACAAGGCTACAGTAATCAAAACAGCATGGCACTGGTACCAAAGCAGAGATATAGACCAATGGAACAGAACAGAGGCATCGGAGGCAACACAACATATCTACAACCATACAATCTTTGATAAACCTGACAAAAACAAGCAATGGGGAAAGGATTCCCTGTTTAATAAGTGGTGTTGGGAAAACTGGCTAGCCATGTGCAGAAAGCAGAAACTGGACCCCTTCCTGATACCTTACACTAAAATTAACTCCAGATGGATTAAAGACTTAAACATAAGACCTGGCACCATAAAAACCCTGGAAGAAAATCTAGGCAAAACCATCCAGAACATAGGAGTAGGCAAGGACTTCATGACCAAAACACCAAAAGCATTGGCAACAAAAGCCAAAATAGACAAATGGGACCTAATCAAACTCCACAGCTTCTGCAAGGCAAAAGAAACAGTCATTAAGTGAATCGGCAACCAAGAGAATGGGAAAAAATTTGCAGTTATCTGACAAAGGGCTGATATCCAGAATTTACAAAGAACTCAAACAGATTTACAGTAAAAATACCAAACAAGCTCATTCATAAATGGGAAAAGGATATGAACAACACTTTATAAAAGAAGACATACATGAGGCCAACAAACATATGAAAAAATGCTCATCATCACTGGTCATTAGAGAAATGCAAATCAAAACTACACTGAGATACCATCTCACGCCAGTTAGAATGGTGATCATTAAAAAATCTGGAGACCACAGATGCTGGAGAGGATGTGGAGAAATAGGAACACTTTTACACTGCTGGTGGGAGTGTAAATTAGTTCAACCATTGTGGAAGATGGTGTGGCGATTCCTCAAGGCCTTAGAAATAGAAATTCCATTTGACCCAGCAATCCCATTACTGGGTATATATCCAAAGGACTATAAATCGTTCCACTATAAGGACACATGCACACGAATGTTCATTGCAGCACTGTTTACAAGAGCAAAGAGAAATGTTTTAATGCAGTATATACAATACTAAGGAGTACTGCTCAGAAATGAACTATTGATCTGTACAACAAAATACATGAACCTCAAAAACTTTATGCTGAGTTAACGAAGCCTCACATATAACAGTATACATTCTGACTGTATATACATATATATATATGCATAAAATTTTAGAAATCAAAGAACTCTCTTACAGTTACCAAAAGTAGATAAGTAGTTGCTTGGAAGGAAGGGCTGGTGGTGAGAGGATGGACTGCAAAGGGCATTGGCGCTGTGGTCACACAGGCATATACATTGTCAAAACTCTAAAATGTGCACTAACATGTTGTGTTATATTATATGTCAATTCTACCTCAGTAACATTTATTTTAAAAGGCATAATGTAAATATGCATGTACACAGATGCACAATATAGTTCCTAAAAAGCAAAGTTATCTTTTTATGTGGCAGTTATTTATATTAAACTTTTTAACCTTCTCAGTTCTCTCAACCCATCAGTATAGAAACAGTTGCAAGTCCACATGTCCCTTGTTTCTGGTCCAAGTAAGTGTTCTAGTTATCCGTAACTCACCATTTAAATAGGAGTACATGATATAAGAAAATAATTACCTACATCGCCCATCCCAATGATTTAGAACTGAAGAGCCACTGCCAGACAAAAGATTGTAGATTTACAATTAACATCTAATTATGCTGTAGTGTATGTTTTTAAATTGCAATAGAATCTACCAATGATTTCCTCAAATAAGTCTCAAATTCCTGATAATGTGTACATATACATCATAAATACATACTATTCTTAGGTAATATGCTGTTCTAGAGAAAAATTTAAAAAATTTACAATGACCTTCACAATAGAAGAAACCAGGGAAGTATAAATATCTTTTATACTCCTCTTAGACTCCTGTTTTTGTCTACAACATACAATAATCTATGATCTGAATGACTTATGAAATTGTGGGTTTCTCATTGTTTAGCCCATACCTTAGCTGCCACCGAAACAGAGGCCTGTCTTAACTTGGGGTTTCCTAGAATCAGAAGAAGGGAGTGGCATGAAGGATAGAAAACTCCAATTGTCTGACAAAGCATCTCAACCAGTTTGTTCTGATTCAGGTCAGAAATCCATGATATGAGCATAGATAGACAGAAACTGGCATAGAGTAAAAGGAATGAGATCACAATTTTCAAGGCATTTATGTGGGCCTTGGTCCTGGGGTCTCTCTGTCCTTTGTAACTGAGCTGCATTTTCTGGAGATGTTTCCGCAGGGAGAAAATTAACAGGAGAAAAGAGATGAGGGCCACAGTAAATGGTGTTAGACTGAACATAGTCATAGTGAATTTGACCGACACTGAAAATGTTGCAAAGTCACTCATACTGAAATTCCAAGATGTGTTTCTTTCACATCGATACAGCCATTCTTTAAAATGAATGTTTATTTTTAACAGATTTAAAAATAAGAAGACAAAGGTTCCTAGCAGTATCATCAGAATCACTTTGTTTACTCTCCACTTCAAATAGAGAAAAGCAGGGTTAGAGAAACTGGCTATTTTGAGCAAATAAAAGATGCTGAGGATTGTAGCAAGCCAGAGACTGAAGTGATTAGAAACTGTCCAGCTAAATATAATAGTTCTTAATCCTGTTCCACTCACAAATGTAGCTGGTTGATGCAGAAGTACAAACCGACTTACTAAGATTTCCCAGATCAGCCCAATTCTGGAGATTGCCAAGATAATGAGGATTTGATCAACTGGGGACAACTGTCTTTTACTGACCCATTCAGTGCAGTTTATCAGTACTATGAATCCATTGCTCAAATTCCCAATTATGAATTCTGCAATATTTACAACAGTGAAGATACTCTGCAGCACACTTTCCATGTCAGAACAGAGAAAGTTCAAAGTTTAAAGTCACTGCTGGTTATTCACTGCTCTAAAATGCTATTCATATTCTTTAGAGCACGAAGAAATTCTTCTTCCTTCTCCTTTTTCTACTTCGTTCATTGTTGACTCAATGTCAAAGCAGAAATCTCTAAAGTTTGCTGATCGATCTTCACATGGCTGTTCTGGTGAAATCTTTATTTTTCTTCAATTTCTCTGCTGAGCCCTAGCCAAGATATTTATGTCTTCACTATCGGCAGAAATATCTCATAGATGATTTTGAAGCAAACTTAAACTCACATTTGCAACCATGCAAATAAAGATATATTCTCTTTCATTGTTTTGTACCTTTTGCCTTGTCTGAGCTGTAGAAAATTTGAATCAACCAGCTTGAGTTCTGAGTACAAATACTGCATGATTCGTAGAATATGTAGCTAAATGCAGCTTTTATGGCTAATAGCACAGCCAATGAAGATTTACAAAACATGCAAAGAGAGATCTACACTATTTCAAAAGAATGCTCAATTTCTCGTGGAGCTAAAGCTGGATCTTGTCAATACTGTGACTGAAGAGAAGCTCATCTGCAGAGCATCCATCTTTCTCATTCCCCGCCTCTTCACTAATTAGCGGTGCTCACCACCATCCCCCCATAGGCACCAAGTGCCTTCATATTTTACCCACTTTTCCCCTCTTATTTCCTTTCTAAACTTAAAAGTGAATAAAAATAAATTTAACAAAATCAGTAACAGCTACCAAAGAAAACAGTACTGCATTATGTCATAAGTTACAAAACTGACAACCAAGCAAAGAAACGGATACGCTAGTGTCCCCTTATCCATGAAGGATATGTTCTGAGACCCCCAGTGGATGCCTGAAACAGCAGAGAGTACCAAATTCTATATGCCATATATTTTTTCCTATGTTCACCTATGAAAATTTAAATGTATAAATACATTAAATTGAACGTATAAACCAAGCACATTAAAGTTTACAAAAATAACTAATAATAAAATAGAACAATTAAAACAATATACCATAATAAAAGTTACCAGGAGTGTTGGCTCATGCCTGTACTCCTAGCAGTTTGGGAGGCTGAGGCAGGAGGATTGCTCGAGCCCAAAAGTTTGAGACCAGCCTGGGCAACCCTGTCTCTAAAATAAATAAATTTTTTTAAAAAAAGTTAAAAAAATGTTAAAAATTTTGTATAGTATGGTGTCGCTCACTCTCTCCAGATATCTTACTGTAGACACCTATTTTTGGACTTTGGTTGGCCTTGGGTAACTGAAACCATGATAATGGGAAACTACTTTGTTCATTGTGAAGAGTCAAGATTTCTTACCCCACCCCACTTTTTCAAACAATATAAAAAAAAAAAAAAAGTGAATTACCACAATTCTGAAAACATGGAGACTCAAGAAAAATTGTCTAATTCAAAATTAATGTAAATAAAACACTTCGTTACTTTGATTATAAGTGGCCAGTTTGCTGGATGAAGACAAAGCTATTTTCATTTAATAAACATATAATTTGTGAATTATAAATGTTTGTATTTTATTACTCATGCCGTCTTCGTTGGGTAATCTATACAACACTAAAAAATTTATAAAACAATTTCATCACGTTTGATGATTCGCAAGTTTCAATTATAACTTAAAACAGCTAGGTAGATATTTTCCATTTTTTTGCTATGATGGTATATTTGTCAAGACAGAATAGGAAATATCTCCTTTAACCATTTTTTAGCTTTGTATATTTGTGCCCTTTAAATATCTAGCTATGTGGCATGTCTTCTTCCATTTGCACGCTTGACCCAGGCCTGAAGAGATCTCTTATACTTTTTCATTTTAGTGTGGTATTCCTATCTATCTAGAGAAAAGAGTTTGGGGATGCTGGTCACAACTTGATAATACCCAAAATCTGCACAAAAGGGGCTCCTGAGGGATGGGACAATGCTTGCATATGAAATAATGCCACAGTTTTTTAGAACTTGTGACATAACACATGACAAAGACAGAGAATGGATAGCAGGCTTTTGGTTCTGAGGTGCATATTCCTGGTGTGTTTCTACAAGAGAAAACATTTAAAAATATAAATTTCATCAAAGAGATGTAGTCTTTCACTTCTACAAGAGAAAGAGAATATATTCTAGGAAATAATCACAGAAAGACTTTTTCAGCTGTCTAAATTGAAAAGGAAAATGAGGCAAAGGGCTGGAAGTGGAAACTATAAAAGGTTTGACTATGTAAAGTATTTTTTAAGCCACTGATGGATTCAGTTTGCCAATGTTGCATTAGGATATTTCCATCTACATTTATAAGGAATATTGATATTTAATTTTTATTTCTCATATGGTGCCTATCAGGATTTGGTATTAAGATTTTGCTAGCCTCATATCATTTATTTAGAAATATTTTTTTTCATTTTTACTGCCTATTTTTTTACATATAACAATTACAGAAGATTTTATGAAGTATAAGTGTTATAAAGTGCACATTAATTTAAACACCTCCCATGCCAAGAAAGAGAATTTTGTAAACACACCTTATATGCTGCTTTCTAATCATAAGCCTTGTCTCCATTCCAGAAGTAACAACTACCTGCGATTCAAATCGCTTTATTGTTTAACTTTGTATGTTTTACATTTAAATACGTATCCCTAAGCACTAGCTTGGTTTTGCTGGGTTTTGGATTGCACATGATCAAGTAATACTGTACATATTCTTTTTTAATTTAACCATTTTTATCAAGTTTGCTTTAGAAATGAATCGTGTTGCATATAGAGATAGATAATTTATTCAATTGATTCATAGCATTAATGGAATGAGAATTCACTATCTGTCTAGTGGAAACACAAAGATGGGTTGTTTTGAGTTCGGAGACTAAGATGATGATGACGGAATTGCCTCTCAACACTGAATAGTATTTGAGTTTCTAAGCCTGGTTAAAACTCAGCCTTTATGCTAAGATTACCTCAAGGGTATGGTTGTTACATCTATGCTAAAAATTTTGGCTGGATTACATTTATAGACAAAGATTCAACCTACAGTTAACTATTCTTTCAGTTGGACAAGTTAACATCAAGGCAGAGTGATTAAATATCTGGTTTTCCCAATAAAGCCTTAAAATGCTCAAAGTATCTGATGTAAAGTCCAGAGAGAAAAGCACAGGGGTGAAAAAACCAAATACAGCAAAGCTAAGAAGCAGCAGACCAGATAAAAACTGTGATTTGTTTGCTTGCGTGTAAAGCTGACTGGAATTAAGTAGACTAAAAAATTGAGTTTCTGAAAAAATTGTGCTTCTGAAAGAAATGCCAATCAAAACTAGGTCACATGTGTATATTAAAATGGAGGCCAGACCTGCAGAATCCCTATGCAGAGACAGCCAGTTAGGTCTCATATGAAACCTAAAACTACTTGATTTACAAAGGTAAGCAAAAATTAACTTGAGCTATATTTTATAAATGCCTATAATAAAGAAAAACAGATCTTAAACTCAACCAATCAAGACAGCTAACAGGATAGGCAAATGTTTGATTGGTTAGCATGCTTTATTTTGTCTGTCCTGTATTTTGCTTTTCTCCTGTGTGTGTCCTATAAAAGCATCCGCATGCATTCCTTCAGTAGAGCTCCTGAACCACCTCAGTTTGGAGCTTTTCAATTTATGAACTATCATTTGCAAATAAACTTAAAAAAAAATTTAGTGTGCCTTAGTTTACCTTTTTTAACACATGTTGAGCTAAACGCTGTGTTAGTCTGTTCTCATGTTGCTAATAAAGACATACATGAGACTGGGTAATTTACAAAGGTAAGAGGTTTAATGGACATACAGTTCTACATGGCTTAGGATGCTTCTCAATCATGGGGGAAGAAAAAGAAAGAGCTAGGGGACATTTTACATGGCGGCAGACAAGATAGTGTGTGCAGGGAAAATCCCCTTTATTAAATGATCAGACCTCATGAGACTTACTTATTCATTATCACAAAAACAGCATGAAAAAGACCCACCCACATGATTCAGTTGCCTTCCCCAGGATTCTTCCCATGACACATGGGAATATAGGGAGCTACAATTCAAGATGAGGTTTGGGTGGGGACACAGCCAAACCATATCAAACCCTATTCCAGAGATATAGTTTAACATATTATGAAGACAAATGGGACATTACAAACAATAATCTCTTGAAATTTTCACATTTCTTACTAGTTCTAAATCTACATCTTTTTTAATGAGACATATTCTTTACCCCACTCAGAACATTTCCCTGTCTTTCAGGGAGACCTGTCACAGCTAGAGAATCATAGAAAATAACAGTAACAACCACATAAATTGTCATCCTAGCTATGAAAAGGGTCAGTGGAAGGACTGGGCTCTCACCAAGACAGAGAAAAATAGAGGTAGATGGTAAATATGTAAAAGGACCAGTCAGAAATGCAAGCAGACTACCATTCTCCCCATTTTACCAGTGCTACCTGAAAAGAATTCCCAGAGAAATGGATTACTGTTAACATCAACAAATATATTTGAGCCAGGCACAGTGGCTCATACCTATAACCCCAGCATTTTGGGAGGCCGAAATGGGAGGATATCTTAAGCCTAGAAGTTTGAGACAAGCCTGAACAACATAGAGAGACCACCTCTCCACAAAATAATATTAAAATAAAATAGCTGAACATGGTGGTGCACACTTATAGTCCCAGCTACTTGGAAGGTTGAAGTGAAAGGATTGCTTGAGCCCAGAAGGTCCAGGCCGCATTGAGCCATGCTATGCCACTGACCTTCCTCCTGGGTGACAGAGTGACACTCATATATATGTATGCGTTTAAATATATGTATACATGGGTGAGATTCATATATGCAGCTATGTACGTATTTGTATGTATGCGATAAGCTGGTGAGAATGAGGTCATTGAAGTAGATATCCTGTTCCTTACCAATTTGGTCAGTGATGAGTTCCATAGGTAATACCGCCATGAAAATGTCCTCCTCTATACCGGGCTTCTCTTCAGAGAGAAAAATTCCTAATCTTAGAGTAATTTCTTATTTTTAACTAAGGCATTAACATAATAATTAAGGGATTCATATTTAATATATATTGTCTCAGTATTTCTCTCTTACTATGTCCATTAATTCCATTGCTCATTACTAATTTGTTGTTAATTGCATTAAAAGATCAGTTCTGTAGAATCAGGTCAATCAGGTCATATCAATCTTTATGAAATCAGAGCAATTATTATTCAAACGATTCAGCAGGCAATTTTCAT